TAGTAATGGCCGACTCCCAGAATGCAATGCGGTATTTGTTTACGAAGTTTAACGAGCGCTATTTTTCGATTATAATTTATTGTTAATTTATTGTTAATTCTTGTATAGACATTTAATGATACTAGAAGTAATTAGAGTTAAGAAATAAATGTTATTTCTATTTTTATTATTTTCTCGTAAGTGTAAGAATTTGATGTGGGAACTAGAGCATCCCGTCACGTTTTTCATTGGTCGCGTTTCATGATGTCATTTTACTACGTATTTAACGACGAGTTGTAGCAGACAACTAGGGATTTTGACTGTTTTTGAGTTCTAGAAAGGTGTGTTATTTTAGTTTGTAAATGTTATAACATTTATTTCGGGATGGAGTTGGTCATGGTTTGTTATAAATAAGTAGGTTTATTTACAGCTATTTGCTGAGCTGTTTACCGTGATCTAACGGTCTGAAATTACTACAGTAACCCTCGTATGCCCATATTTCGACGGTCTTTCAATGTGTTTATTTTATGTAAACAAGAATCCATTGAAATAAATTGAGCGGTAAATTCATCATTCAAATTGTATTCTTTCCTGTGTAAAGATTTATCCAGTTCGTCTTATCTACTCTTGTTGGTGATGAGTTCAAAAGTGACATATAAACATAAACCAGTAATCAGATTTCATATTTGTATCAAAAAGTGATTTTACGCAAGGCAGACAAACTATATGAAACGAATGTTTTCCTGTCTCAAATGCATTTTCATCCATGATATAGGTAATATGATCGCAAGTCTACTGGGGTACTATGTTTACACAGACCAGCCTGATCTCGCGAGAACGGACCAGATATAAACAAAATAACAAAACCGTCGAAATTCGGACCCTGTCGAATTTAGGACCTTCGACCATAATTTACGGATATTTCATCCGTTGTAATTTCAATTACTGGTTCAATTTACCAGTCCCAATATAAGAACAAGTACAAAATACGTAGGTTTCAAGCATTTATTTCAATATATTATTTTATTTGGAATTATTGTTTTATAGATATAAAACTATGTGTTCAGAATGAACCGTTTATTTGTTAACTTTACAAGACTTGTCTTTATTTCATTTTTGTCCTGAATTTGGAAGTAAAGAGAGAACAGAATTAATTTTAACTTAATTGTCATACACCAGTGCGCTTATCCGGTGTCGTTACAATATTTTGGCATCCACGACGGGATCTGTTTAAAAAAACAGATGCAGTGATCAAACACCACCGCCCCCTTTTTCCTAAGAAAATTATGTATATCTGTTATATTTACAGATTCAGTGTTTTTTTTGTTGTTGAATACAAGTCTTGTTGGTTATTCTGAACACATTATTGAACATATTGACTATCACAAAATGGGTGGTAAAAGAAAGACAAGAAGTCGTGCACAGGTTCGAGGTCATAGCCAGTTTTCTCCCTTGAGCAGAGTTTTGTCAGATGATGAAGATATCCGCGAGATTTTGAGTTCCAGAGAAGAAAGTCCAGCTAAGTATTCCAGATCTGAAAATGAAAGAAATCATTTTGAAACTGTAATACCAGTTAGTCATACTGAGCCAGAAAAGAGCCCAGTTACAATGATAGGGTCACCTCTTACCTATCAAAAGTTAGCTCCATTTACAGGTGATAAACCTGTTACTTGCAAAAGTATTCTTACACCTGCAAGTCTCACAAATGCCGTCCAAGTGACAAGTACACACACAGTACCTCAGATCTCCACACATACAGTCCAACTGCACGCACCTACACAGTTGCATTTTTCTCATGAGACAAGTGGTGTTCATACATTACCACGAGCAAATCAAGCATTACAGACAAACTGTGTTCCTTACTTTCCGCATCCTCAAAATACAACATATATTCCTGTACCCCAATTACCTGTTCATTCATCTTCAGGTGGGTCAATTATGTCACCGCTGCCAAGCTCAGTGAGCTTTGTGACATCACCATCAAACCATTTCCCCATGACATATACTGGTCACTTCATATCTGTTCCCTCATCTGCAAGTTTTCTACCTGCCACAAATTCAGGTTACACACCTGTCATTTCTTCTACAGGTGCATTACCTGTTACATCTTCTATGGGTCACTTACCTGTTTACTCATCAACTGGTCCTGTCCATTTACCAGTGCAAACTGCCAGTTCATTTCTAGGTCCCTCCACAGTCCATCCATCTGAAACAGTTGTGGACGACAGGTCGAGAAGCAGGTTTGGTGAAAGACAACAGAGTGAACCACAAACAACAGATATAGCAGAAATGATTCAGACAGAGGTACGGAGAGCACTACTTGCACTGCTTGGAGACAAACAAATAAATTCTGCGCATGGAGCCAGAAACATGACCACAGATGGTACTGACTCAAGTGATGATTCAGAAGTCTCGACAAAGGCGTCAGAACCTCCTTATCGACACAAGCTTCAGAATGTAAAAATTCCACCTTTCGATGGGAAGGAGGACCGGAAGATCTGGTTTGCCAGATTTGAAGAAATAGCAGAAAGAAGGCGATACAAGAACAAGTACTAAATACGTGGGTTTCAAGCATTTATTTGAATTTATAATTTTATTTGGAATCATTGTTTTATAGAAATAAAACTTTGTGTTCAGAATAAACCGTTTATTTGTTAACTTTACAAGACTTGTCTTTATTTCATTTTCGTCCTGAATTTGGAAGTAAAGAGAGAAAAAAATTAATTTTAACTTAATTGTCATACACCAGTGCGCTTATCTGGTGTCGTTACAATATTTTATATCAGCTACGGGAGATTTCTCATTTTTATGCATTCTTTATAGCTACATGGCTACACAGCTACATGTATGAGCTACTAGTATGAAATAACATCCAGACCTTTTCACCATATTGAAGGTAGTCTATGCGTTTATGTTTGTGTTGTTCTTTTATATGTATTTGTTGACAGAACTTTATTTTGAGTATTTGTCTTGCATGTTTATATTTTGTGTTGAATTGAATTCAATGTGTATTCATTCCAATGCATGAAATTGTGTTTGTGTAAATGTTCAGTAAAATTATTTGAATCTAAATTATTTAAAATCAGATAATAATTATGATAAATTATTATGATTTTCTTTTATTTCATATAACTAAATTGGCAAAGGAATTATTTGATGATGATTGATCTGTGATAAAGAAGTGGTAATTATTTTTATATAGATTTAATACAAAAAGAATATGAACCATAAAGTATTAATTTATTATAAAAATAGCAAATACTATATTGCAGTTGAATGTATATTCTTATCTTATCTAGTAACTGTTATTGTTATTTCAGGGTTTACTACTTGTACTACAAGAACTTCTAGATTACTGTACTCTATTTAATAAAATCAACAAGATTGTATAACAATCAATTAAATTATCACGCAGAGCTAATTTTCTTTTTAAAAAATCTTGATTCAATCTTTTTATTACATGTACAAGTATTTTTTTAAAAACTATAATATACCGAAATATTTATCTTCCTCGTGGCGCAGTGAATAGAGAGTTTCTCATTAACTCGCAAAAAGAGGACTTTATCTTCATGTCACGGACTGGAATCCCACAGTGGGACACACGCAGAGACCAGTCCTGTGAGGAAAGAAAACCCTCACTGCCCAATGGCCTTAAGTGCAATATATAGGTTTGTAAATTTTAGCCCTTTACAGGCAAGTGGTGGTGTCTACATATGAAAGAAAAAATCTCTAGAGAGAAACAACAAACATACGATCGTATCTTGCTTTATAATGCATTCATGTTTAAAGACAGAGATTCAATTTATAAGCATATTTAGTATTTGAATATAGAATATGTAGTCACCCTGCAGAAATTAACATTATGAGCTAAACCTTTTCTGCGCATATCGTCTCCCCCAAAGAATAATATACTAGTTTCAAGTTTTTTTTGCCATACGCAAAATATGCAGCACGTATGATAGCCTTGACTGTCCGAGGTTTTCGATCATTATTATGATAAAATGAAAATCATATTTACATTTAAAATTAATTGCATAAAAATAAATTGTTTACGACTATAAATATCCCTGACCTTGAATTGTTCACAGACCTGGCAAATATTTCTCGCAGGCATAGTTTATGTGATTTAAGATGAAAAAATAACTTTATTTTGTCATTACTGGAATCTGTAACGTTTGTTTATCTTTACGGAGTTTTGATATTTATACTTTGATATACGATTTATCTTTATAATCTCTCACTTAACCCTTATATCTGTATTCCTGAATCATTATAATTTTCTAAACTTTGATTGTTATTATTCCAATATATCAAAGCAAAGTGTACAAGTCTTTTTCAATAGTACTCATGACATCATCAGTGAGATCCCGTGGGGCTCCGGGTTAGAAAAGGTCCTCAGTACCCCCTTGCTTGTCGTAAAAGGCTACAAAATGAGGCAGTCCTTCGGATGAGACCGTAAAACGAGGTCCCATGTCACAGCAGGTGTGGCACCATAAAGATCCCTCCCTGCCCAAAGGCCGTAAGAGCTAAGCATAGGCCTAAATTTGCAGCCCTTCACCGGCAATGGTGACCTCCATGTGAGTGAAATATTCTGGAGAGGGACGTTAAACAGTATAAAATCAATCATCAGTGGGATTTGGTAAAGTGAGGACAAGATAATTTAGTTTAAGTATTAATGATATTTTTGATTACTGTCAGTCTTCTAAGAGGAGTAAGTTTAGAAAAAGTTTTTCCTGTGACATGATTATTTTAATTAAAACGTGTTGATTTTAATTACTATCATGATATTGCTTTATAAAAAGACAAAATAACAATATGTGGTACGTGGGATAAAGATAACAGTTTGATTATTATATATATATCTGATCAAGAAAAAGTCTGCTTTAATGCTTCAGTGTCATGTTTTCAGTAAAACCAATGCATATATTTATCACCAGACTCCCCAGACTGTCCGTACAGTCCGTTAAGGTTTGAGTAGACACAGGCCCAGTACCACCAGGCTCCGTGTCGTAATATATAAAACATGATTGTTAAAAATCTAATTCAATGGTAGAAATATTGAAGAAGAAGGAAATTACTGTAATTGTCTAAACATTTGTACTTGAATACAAAAACAACAAAAAGTTTCTGTTTGTTTGGCAAAAATAAAATATCAGATTTGTATTGTATGTCAGATCTGATTATAAATGATCTCTAGTTTTTTTGTCTGATCATCATCTGAGTCTGCTTTAATGAGTCAAAGTTACTTTTCCAGTGATACCATGTCGTGTATTTTCCACCAGAATCACCAGCCTGTCCGTACAGTCCGTTAAGATTTGACCAGGCACAGGCCCTGTACCACCAGGCTCCGTGGCTTGATGTAGCACAGTTATCACCACTCCAGTTGTCGTTATCCTGATCCTGTGTGCTGAATTTCATTCCATTGTGAAGATTAATCAAACTATCATCTGTAACAGAGTATATGATGAATTATATACAAATGTGTAAATCATGAAGAATTTTGATACATCATATAAAAATTAGACGTATCATTTAATAATTTAAAATAGATATAAAATTTGTATTCGGAAAATAGCTCTTCACAGTTAATATTCTTTCTTCATAAACCTGACTTTAAATATTATCTTATATTATCTAAAATAAACATGTTAAGCTTGATGTTGCTAAATCATGATTGCATGTATCATATAACCAACCCTTAGTCTTTTAAAAGATAATTGAAAACAAGTATAAGTTCTGTTTATGATAATCTATGTTTAATTAACGATACTAATAATTCAAATAAATTAATCTATCAACAAAAAATAGGAAATCAATAAAATCAAGATATTCTACATTTAAAATTAGGGTTACATGCTCATATATGTGGGGAAAAAAGCTTCAATATCAACCCTGTTTATAATGTTTTTTTTATATCATTTTCTTGTGAATCAATGGAGAGGACCATCTAAGTTGGTATAATTATAACTTGTGTCCAATCCCATTGATTGTGTTCAATAAAATATGTTCAAATTAATGAAGAATTAACAGGATATCAGTACGCGTTAGCACTAAATAGAACTGAAAGATTATAAACACCCCCCTCTTTCAACAAACATCATTTTGATAACCATGCAGAAAAACTTCAAAAAGTATTAATGGAAGAAACCTTTAATTGTATATACCATTTTATATGCCATACATGATATGCAATGATTACTGAAACCTATGGATGAGGAACTGGTTAAAATTTTGTCACATTAACAGAACGTGTCTCCATTGTTTTGAACATATTTTATTGACTATATGTCAAAAAGATTGGACAAATTTCCAAAAACATTAAAGTCCTCACAGTACATAAAATCTGGATAGCTCCCTTTACAACATTTACATTAGTATTACAATAATATCTACATATACATAGAAGAACAAAAACAATTGTTTAATGAATAAGGAAATAATATCAAATTATCAATGAATAATAATGGTGATTATAAATACAGTGTTGATATTATAGAAATATAATAATTTCAATAGAGATAATATTCCTAAATAAATTTTTGAACAATACTAAATATTTTTTTCATTTTCCTGCGAAGATAAGGAATCATCTCCCCATAGCAATTTATGCACATTTATCATTTTTACATTATGAGTTACAAGTAATACATTCATTATTAAGCGTCTAGGTTCAAAATATTTTCTAAAACAAAGAAAAAATGATGACTATCTTCTTTCATACCACAAGAACAATTTGGATTCCTTATGAAATTACATCTATGCAGATCATAATTTAAAATACAACTGTGTCTTAATTTTGTTTGTAAAATATTCAGATATCTTTTGCCACATAAAAAAATACCTGGGAGGTTTATCATTATTATTACTCAATTTTCTTTTAAAATTCCTATTGAACTTATTTCTCTTGTTTCGTTGCTCAGTGAATTCCATTTGAGAACAGTATCGGGGACAAATGACTTGTTGTATAATTCAAGCCAGCATTTAGGTAAAGAATAATCAAATGAATTTCGAGCATTGTAATTTGAAACAGTGTCTCTAACCATCGATACAATGTTTTTTTTAAGTATTCAGGAGATAGGTTTTTGTGGATTTTTACCTGTCTCTGTTGATGTTTGTCACATTAACAGAACAGGTCTCCATTTGTGCTTGTTACATTAACAGAACAGGTCTCCATTTGTGTCCCTTCGAAAATGTGTCACTTATACTGAGACGCCTCCACCCATGACTGGCCGAGGGGGAAGGGAGGGGGCTGCAAATTTATATCTATACCGGGACTCAGGACCAGGGCCTTTTTCGTGACAGCACTTATTGCGACAGAGAACCCTTGTATATATGAATTTGTCCGAAAAACCGGTCTCCAAGTCCCATAATGGTATTCCAACCCGCGAAATCAACTCCTAACTCCACGACTCTAAAGCAAACTAACCACTGGGCCACGTGGGCAACTGTTCATTTGTTTTAAAAATAAATGTGTAATTCAATAGGAACCAGCAGTCTTACATTATATATGACCGAAAGGTCTTAAAACAAGATTTTGAAATTGATGCCTTTCGAGAAGGCGAAAGCGTTTCAATATGGTTCTGAATTATATTTATCCAATGTCTTTCCTTTACAGTAATTTTTTAATCAACTTAATTGATACAACAATTAATCAATCAATTCTACCGTATTTCAATTCAAAAAGTTTTAACACCTAGGGCTTACAGTAATAATTTTTTAATCAACTGACGGAACAAAGACAAATAAACTGTTTTCACAATTCAATGTACCGGTTAATTGGTAGTTGGCTTGCAATAAAATACATTGTAATATCTATGAAATATCTATGTCTTTTCCATAGAGCCACGGCTCTAGAATTATGTAAGTCAAACATAACATCGTATCGAAGTCATTTAATTGATGTAAATAAATTGCCGAAAAATTTGAAATTTCAGCATGTTCAAGGAACTCTTTAAAATATTTTTACTGTTCTGAAGTCCCTTTTTTGTAATGCGGTAACTCGATCAAGAAACCTGATAAATAAACATGGCAAATCTACTTTCAAAAATTTTAAGTAGTTCGACTATCGGTCAGAATTTCCTCTGATTTTCAGAACGTTTATTCCCCTTAATCATTATGTACGACCATACCATTTGTGTAAAGAATTTGCGATTTTCAAATAAGCGTGTGCTTGTAATCTTTTGTAATTATAATGAATTGAGATTCAGTTGCGAATTTGTTGGCGAAAATACCGCGAAATATTAGTGCTTCACGTAAACTCTGCAACACAGAAAAATCTCAAATGATGGAGAACCCTGGATGTACATGTATATGACCGAATAGTCTTAAAATACGTTTTTTGAAATTGGCGCTTTTTAAAAAGGCAAATGCGCTTCAATCTAGTTCTGAATTATATTTGTTTAAGGCCTTTCCTCTAAAGAAATGCCTGTTTTTTCGTGATGCTATTTCTTAATAAACATAATTGATGTTGTTTGACATCAGATGATGACACAGCGCTGCAACAGGTTAATATCAGACTCTCTGTTAAACAGCTGTTTTACAAAAGTCTTCAAATTGAGTTTATGTCAATGAATACTTTACCTGCAGTTCCTGTGTATCCGGATACTGTGAGTCGATATTTCTCTGTCTCGTTTCCGATATAAAACGTGGAATATTCAGCATAAGCTGTGTCCCCATCAAATGCCTGGATATCTACTCGCAGTTCTTGGTCCTGATCTTTGGTTAAAGCATAGATTGCATCATTCCCTTATAAAAATGTTACGAAAATCATTAAATCTGATATTTATAACTATTGATCAAAATTTTCAAAATTTTTCATTAATAAATTATTATTAATTTATTTATTAGATTATTAATAAATTACACATATTCACAGAATTGGTTATACAAAACAATTAGTGTGTGTGGGGGTGTTATTAATGGACACATGGTGGATGCTGCCTTAAGAAGGCTACGGAGATAACAAACATTATTCAATATCAAAGTCCATCAAACAATACAAAAAAGGAGCAGAGCTAACACGGACTTCCAAAAAATCAGAGGTGGGATCAGGAGCCATGGAGAAATGAACATCCCCTGCTGACCGGTCATAACCGCCGTATGCCACTTGTCAAGTTCGGAAAATAACGGAAAATTCCGTTGTAAATTCTATGTATAAATAATGGACTAAGTATGAAAAATGTCAGTTAGAATATCAATGATAAGAGTATCAATGATAAATTGTATTTGCTGACAAGGTCATTGTATTGACCATAGAATTTATAAAATGATTTCTTTTAACTAGACTGTTAATATTCCTGTTTCATCAACTTGTTTGTCAATATTTTAACTCGTTTTAGAAATTGTTCATACGTAGAGCATGTTCTTGCGTACCCGTACCAAGAGAACTGAGATATATACACTCCGTTTGCAGGTGATGAAGTTATATTGCTGCATAAAAACGGGAGATGACGATAGAAAAGTTAAAGATATCACGTTTATCATATAGCTTGGTTGTTAGATTACCATTAACGTCTTTTTGAAGTAAATATCTTAAGTAAGAGACAGATGCGTCAGACTATAAGCGAAAAAAAAATTCTGAAGTAACTTATTTTGTTTTTTTTTTTCAAATCAGAAAAAATATATAATAAATGTTGATAAAAAGTTTTCATTTCGAGTAAAAGTTGTTAGCTGTCTTATAATTTAATCATACATAGTTTCAAAGGCCTTTTATATCATTGCAAGACACCACAAATCACTTTTTATTTTATATCATGCTAATTAGCATTGTTATCTAAGACTGGATTGAAGAAATTCTTATCTAGTATCTAAAACCGTATTAATCATTTTCCTTTTATAGGGTACAAATGTAAACTTTAAGATATTTTCTAAGTCTTTCAAAAACCTTTAATCTTATAAAAATGAATAAAATGATAATTGCTGTATGAAAAAAATTCTATTTCAAGCTTAAATTTAATGCATTTCAAATTAAATATCAATTTTTGGAGTTATCCTTCCTCTGGCTGAGTATCGGATATCCTTAAGGGCTATTCAAACCCATAGCATAAGAACTTCCAATGATTACTTCTTCTTTCAATATTTAATTATTATAAGAATTAAAATTTTCAATGAAGAATTAAGATATGTAGGCAAAAAAAAAACTACATTGTATAAGACAATTTGACTGCATATATGTATTATTTTGATCTCAGTACAATGATACATGGAGACATGAATTTTTAAACCTATAAAAATACAAATGTTGTTCATGAAAAAAAAATCCAAGATTAAGAAAACTCACATGCAACAAAAATTGATTTTGTTTATACTTGTAATATTATGTTCTGTATAATAGCCAGAAAAGAAATAAACTCACCTGCTTAACTTTAATTCTTATTTGTATGTAAAAGTCCGTGTTATATAATAAATACCGAAGTAGCTGAGGGTAACAATGTAAATATCCATCCCTCTAAAACAATTGTTAACCTCGGGTCGTTTTCTGTTGACATTGCGTTTATTAGGGGTAAACTTTTCAATGTTTCCCTCAAGTACAAGCATGCAGCATAAATATAAACTATAAATTTTAATTTCAAAATTTGTATTCTTACCAATCCAGTAATTGTTCCTTGGATCCCCAAAACCTTTTTTGTATTCTTCCCAGGTTCGATAGAAATCGGTTGATCCGTCTATTCTTTTCTGTAAAACCTACGGAATTTTTAAATCTAATAAACTGTGTTTAGGTGTGTTCAGCATATTTTTTGTACAGAACTTTAGGTAATTATCAATCACAGGATGCACCATTCGTACAAAATTTGTTTAAATAAGACATTGAATTACTCGAAATTGAACTTGTTCAAGGTAAGGCTTAAACTTGATTGATTAAAGTGAAAATTTGACATTTTGCATTCATATCGTATATACGTCCCTTTCCATATTTTCAAAACAATGTGAATGTGTATTTGAATCCCTGAATTTGAAAATCTACGGGTAAAAGGTGTTCGAATTAGTAATATACATGAAAACTGAGATTTCAAAATTCCAATGATTGTTCAGAAAGCAATTTAGTTTTACTGCTTTTTTATCAGATGGCAAAAATACTCACTGTCCACCCGCCCCCGTCTGTGGTCATGTCACAATAAACGGAAGTGATTTTTAAACCAACTGCAATACTATATGCACCATTTTTTCCTTTCAGACTGGAATTTTTTTTTAGCATTTCATAGCAATTCCAGTGGATTAGACCTAAGTCAAATGGAGAAAACATACAATAAATAAATGATAAAGTTTGGACAATGCATAATAATTTAGAGATTGGATTCTAAAATTCTGATATACGAGGGTTGATCCAAAAGTAATGTCACAACTTTGAAAAAATTGCTACAATTCGACGTAAAGCAACAAAATTATGCATGATGGAAGCTTTATTTATTTCAAATCAAACCTGAAACATTCAAAGGAATATGGTGTATACTTTTCAAAATATCGGACTTTAAACAATGTGCATTTATGGTAGATAAATATAATGTCATATGGCGGATACGCAACGTCATATCTTTAAGCGTTTCCCCTTCTTTTCATAAAAAATATTTGTGATTCGCAAACACTTTCACCAATATAATTCCACTTTCTTCAAGAATTCTTGGTACTATTATACACTAACTCTTTTCATAATTCATCCCTCTGTCAATTTTTTTAACAGCTAGTAGCATAAGACAAACTTAAAAATTCAAATGTCACTCTATACGTTTGTCTTTTTTGACAAAGTCAGACACCATTGTACGTTTCCGTCCGATCTCCTATCTTTCGGTCTTCTTGTTCTCTGTTAATCACACAGTGACAAATCACACGCGCAAAATTACTGAAACCATCTATTAAGATGTCTCTTATTTACATTCTTTTTTCTGTAAGTCTGACTGATTAATGAAAATGTCGCTACCCTAACAAAAAAATACTATAGTTAACTATAGTTAACTATAGTTAACTATAGTGAACTATAGTTAACTATAGTTTACTATAATTAACTATAGTAAATCAAAGTGTCAAAGTTTTCGTCAAAGTTTTTCAAAGTGTCAAAGTTTTCGCCAAAGTTTTTCAAGTGTCAAAGTTTTCATCAAAGTTTTCAAAGTGTCAATTTTTTCGCCAAAGTTTTTCAAAGTGTCAAAGTTTTCGCCAAAGTTTTTCAAAGTATCAAAGTTTTCGTCAAAGTTTTTCAAAGTGTCAAAGTTTTCGCCAAAATTTTTCAAGTGTCAAAGTTTTTGTCAAAGTTTTTTATAGTGTCAAAGTTTTCGCCAAAGTTTTTCAAAGTATCAAAGTTTTCATCAAAGTTTTCAAAGTGTCAAATTTTTCGCCAAAGTTTTTCAAAGTGTCAAAGTTTTCGCCAAAGTTTTTAAAAGTATCAAAGTTTTCGTCAAAGTTTTTCAAAGTGTCAAAGTTTTCGCCAAAGTTTTTCAAAGTGTCAAAGTTTTCGCCAAAGTTTTTCAAAGTGTCAAAGTTTTCGTCAAAGTTTTTCAAAGTGTCAAAGTTTTCGCCAAAGTTTATCAAAGTGTCAAAGTTATCACTTTAGTAAATAAAAGTTTTCACCAAGTGTCAAAGTTATCACTATAGTTAACTATAGTAAACTATAGTTTACTATAGTTAACTATAGTATTTTTTGTTAGGGTAGTGATGATTCCCATATTTTGAAGCAAAAATGCATTACAACTCGTCGAGCCTTTTTCCCCATTTCGACAATCCCTTTTTTCAATGAAACAGAGTAAAACAACAGTATTTTTTATCACAAAAACCAATGCCGTCAATTCATTTTCAATTAAAAAACTAGAAAATGACGAGAATTGTGTCCATTACACCTTATAAATTGAGAAATGTAAGTGATATTGACTTCATGTTTTGCACATATGTAGTGTGCTCTAGAATTTGTACATGTATATAACCATGTTTATCCATCTCGGTACCTTTTACCTTGACCTTTTACGTTCTTTTCAAAATGCCTCTTTGTTCAGGTACATTCAGATATATTTTTAACATTTACATGTAAGAGGGAATCTATGCTATTAAGCACTTGTTAATTTTGTCAAAATATCTTATGAAAAATACTAGTTACCAAACATTCGACCTAGACTTAAACCTTTGGCTTGCTTTGCAAATATACTCCAGATGGTTGCTTCAACTTTTCTCTTTGATTTTGAGAGGCATGGTTTTGAAACTTAGCGTTTGTTTTAAATGTTAGATCGGGACAATGAGTTTAGACGCTGTATGTATTAATTTACGGTTTTCACACAATCTGAAAATTACATACCCATACCTTAAAATACATCGGGACCAATACACCAAAAATATCGCTGTCAGTTGTAGTTAAAACAAACTAAAGGATAGTCGAATTAACACGTGTTTATTGAATGAAAGATCATCATTTCTTGTACTTTCATTTCATTATCTGCTTAAACTCTATAAAGGGCCCGGGATTTTTTTTTCATTTATTGTTTATTTTTATGTAGTTTTTGTGGTTTATGACGACCATCACTAAGTTACGAATTCTCTGAACCATACAAAACCTCACTAGACTCTCTTGGTTCGGAATGTCCAGTAAAACACTGGACACTTTTCCTCCGGACGTCGTGCTTCCGTCCAAAAAGATTTCTCTATGTTGTTACTGTCTGCAGAAACTTAACTGCTATTCAGGAGAAATATAAGAAGCCTAGACTCGGCAGAATATCCATTGTTGTAACTTGAATTTCATTCAATTGCAATTCAAAACTGATGTATATTAAGCTACAGAAAGCTACAGAAAATATAATTTTAATTTATTTTACCTAATTGTGCTAAGAGATTAACGTAATCAGAAATTTGATAAATATTTACACAATAGCCAAATAGTCATTAACCTATATAATGGTTAAAAAATGAAGTGGAGTATTCCTTCTCCTTGGATTTAATCTTGGCTCTATCTGTATGTGAGATAATTGCATATTTGTTGTAAGACATTTATATGGACATTTACAGATAAAATCTAATATATGACAAGATTTATATGAAGTCGTCCGCTTTTCATAACGTTTTGTCTTTGGTAGGCCTAATGAAATAGTTTTCAATCATTTTTCTATTTTAACATTTTTCTATCACAGTATTTATTGATATTCATAGGATTCATTTCTGTATTTATATATGAATATTTACGTTTGCATATATCTATCTCAGATGAACCTATTGAAAATTTATTCAATTCTGTAGGTGAGAATTTTATTTGGGGGTCACTGTAGAGCTACTTATCAAAACATCAACCATGTGTGACCCTGTAATGACACTAGGCAATGAGAGTTTTATTATTAAACTATTGTTACAGAAGCTAAAGCACTTGAGGCTTGGGGAAATGTTTTTGCAAATCATATGAACTGATTTTCTTATGATTCACATATGTATACCATGTGTTAATCATATGATTTGCTTCATATGGTTCACATATTATGCCATTTCTTATGATTCTCATATGAAATCCATCATATAATTCACATATGATACACGTATGTGGATCATATGTGGCCTGTATACTTTGTTTAATCATACGAGTTGCTGAAACAAGAACTTCAGCAGTCTTGATTAAAGTTATCATTTTTAAGTTCTATGGTCGATACAATTAACTTGTCAGCAATTAAAAATCATTATTAAGTCAAATGCTGACTGACTGTTTTTCATACTAATTGTAAGGGCATTATATACACGCTGAATTGTCAACGGATTTTTCTGTTATTTTTCGATCATGACAAGGATGTGACCGGTCGGCAGAGGAGACTCACTCCTCCATCGCACCTGATTTCACTTAGGTCTGTTTTTGCTCTGCTCCAAATTTGTATTATTTAACGGACTTTTGAGCTTGAATACTGTTTTTTATCTCCATATATTTTCCTTTTTAAATACAGCTGTAGAGACGTCACCTGAGGAAGTTGTAGCGGAGTGCTCAATGTATCATTAAACTATTTCACGTTTAATTATTATTGATGAGAGAAAATGGGTTTTCTACTTATTTTCCTTTGGGAAAAAGTTGAAATATTTGAAAATAAAGACTATACCATCACAATTTTCCCCTGCATAACCATTGGAACAACTGCACATGTATCCTCTTGCAATGGACGCCTCAATCACACAGTAACCATTCTGACAATCATGGTTTTCACATGGATCGACTGAAGATACAAAATGTTTTTAAATGAACTTATCTCTTGACTTATAAGTACTTAAAATTGTCAGCTAGATTTATACATGTGCTAAACTAATAGCAGCATATTGGAACGATAAAAGCACTTGAATACCTAAAAACCAAACTATATATTACTCAATTAAAAAGTTCATCTCATGCAATCACGCAGCGTTTTGATCCGACTCGGTTTCTGAATGCATATCACCCTTCATTAAACCATTAAACGTGTAGAGCAGAGTGGCACCCAGGGATCATTTTACCCGTTGTATGTCAGTCCGTCCGTCCGTCTGCCTGTCTGGTTGTAGCTGAATGTCTATCACAACTTGTATCTCAAAAATTGTAAGAAATATGGACTTGATATTTTGAACATTTATTGCGTTGCACTATAACAAATATGGCAATTTGTTATTAAACATGGTTACCGAACTCGTTACTTTTGGCCTTGTCCTATGATTGTCATAAATAAGTAAAATATGACAATGTGCAGCATATTTTTTTTAAATTTTAGCGGTATTTCTATGCTATTTAGCTGTGCATTTTCTATTGTCAGACTCTGTCGCAATTTTATATCATATATGGACGTTTTTTTATGCTTAAAGGAATATCATGTTGTATTTTTTTGTGCAACAACTACTGGATATTACAGTAGCTTAGAAATAACTGACCACTCGTAAATTTAGTTACATCTTAAAAGGGGCATGGACACAGTTTCAGCTGAAATTTTTTTTACCGATTTAATTTTTACAATTCCTAACAAGAGCAATTTTAATAATCAGCAAATATTTGAACATTTGTTGATTTTCAAAGAGCTACAGGACTGAGAATTTTGAAAACAAGGCTCGGGCCTTTTTTTTGTTTACATTAAGATAATATCATATTTATAACAAAACGAGATTCGGCAAATCATTTGAAAATATCTTATTGTATTTAAAATTAACTTCATTATTGAAATAAATCTGCTTTGACGATCACACAAGAGTATGTTTAACCTATGTAACCAAAAACAAGGCGCAGGCCTTGTTTACATAACAAATGTTTGGAGCTCTAAGTCTGTCTTGTAACTCGACAACTGAAATATAAAAAAACAAGAGGTCCATGGGCCACATCGCTCACCTGAGAAGCTTTGGCTATTCTGTTCTTTACCAGATTTCCCCCTTTAATACACATTGTAACCCCACCCTTCCCACTTATCATAATTTAAACAATTTGAAATCTACACTACCCCAGTATTTTTCCAAATAAGTTTCAGCTTTGATTTTCAGACTTTTTCTATATATTTCTATGTAAAACATTGATTCCCCATTGTGGCCTCGCCCTACCCCTGGAGGTCATGATTTGTACAATTTAGAATCTACACTACCCTAGAATGCTTCCACATAAGTTTCAGCTTTTCTGACCCATTGGTTCTTGAGAAGATTTTCAAAGATTTTTCCTATATATTTCTATGTAAAACACTGATTCCCCATTGTGGCCCCGTCCTATCCCCGGGGGTCATGATTTGAACAATTTACAATTTACACTACCCCAGGATGCTTCCACATAAGTTTCAGCTTTTCTGGGTCAGTGGATCTTGAGAAGAAGATTTTTTAATGACCCAACCCTATTTTTGTCTTTTCTTGATTATCTTCCCTTGCGAGGGGATATGTCTTTTCATTTTAACAATTTAAATTTCCCTTTACCCAAGGATGCTTTGAACCAAGTTTGATCAAGATTGACTCAGTGGTTCTTGAGAAGAAGTCGAAAATGTGAAAAGTTTACAGACGGACAGACGAACGGACGGACGACGGACAAAATGTGATCAGAAAAGCTCACTTGAGCTTTCGGATCAGGTGAGCTGAAAATGCTGATCATTAGAAATACTTTAGTTGAGTATTTTTAAAAATAAACAATGGTATGAAACCTTATGGTTGAAACTATGTATAGGCACATTTAAAGAAGCTAAAAGCAGCGGCAAATGCATTTCTTGGAACACTCTAGTTTCGAAGATGTGGTTTGTTTAAAATGTGTAATTGGTCCTAACGTTAACAGGCACAAATCCTCAATTTGACATCTACTATGTTCTGCTGCGATTCCTTACTGTTTGATATCTAAATATCTCATTCAGTCAACATGCATACGGATTTTAGCTTAATTAAGTTACTGTTAAAGATCATTGATCATATGATTTGAAAGGTAACCCTTAATGTGGTAAATGTTTATTATATCTATATATAAGGAAAATAAAGTAAAGCTTGTCAAAAGCAACACGAAGGTCAAAAACAGAGAAGAATGGTAATCTCTAGTGTGAAGAACAGAAAAGAATTGAAATGCAATACAACTAAGTTTCACAATGGAAATATCGACATTTTTGGTATTTATGTATTCATCATGGTGGCAATTATTTTTAGTTTATTATTTATATCAGATAATTGAAGTTAAGGTTAATAATGACATATGGAGGACGATAATATTTTATATTTAGATTTGTAACGTGATACGGCAGTCACGTGATTTTAGCACATTTTTGCAGTATTGAGGTCATCTATAATTTTATGAGTGCAAAGTCATAACCAAGTTAAAATTCTAAATTTAGTTTATAAATATTTTCAACGCGCATTGTAGTTTCTGAAAAATTCCGTAATCCTCTCAAGATTATACAATTTCATTTATAAAATCATATTTGTATGTTCAAATGTTGTATTTTTGCGGGTCAGTGGCACGAAATACTGATATAATCAAATTAGTTTCCTCAGGATTGCAGCACTTATCAGATACATTAATACCTCTAGAATTGACTTGTAAAAGCTTAATATGATGCATTGTGTTTATTAA